TCCAACAAAATTAGAGTGGGGCAGTTGCTGGACCTGGTTCTGTTCTGCCGTGAAGCTTACTGGATCCCCTAATCACGTAAGACAAGCCCCACTGGATCAGATCAACTGTCTGTTTAGCCCAGCATTTGGTTCTCCCACAGTCCAGTGGGCCTGAGAAGGCTGAGAAGATCAGAAGCGGGACATGAAGGCAATCGCTTCCCCTGTTGGCTGTCAGGCGGTACCAAAATTAAATAAATAGGTAATCTGCAGTACCCACCAGCCCAAACCAACATGGCCAAAGGGCCAAAATGATGCGAACTGCAGTCCCCAATATCTTGAGATCCACAGGGAGGCCTGCAAATCCTCCAGCCCGGGATTAATTGAACCAGCTGGTTCACACTGACCCCCGAAGCACTAGCATTCCTATAAGGAGTACGTCTGAATGTGTGCATGCACAGGCAAAGACAGGAAGAGGGAGAGAGACTCCGCGTGTGTGTACCCACGGTCGTCACCTGGTTCTCTGTTGGAAAGAACCGAACTGTGTGGCTCGGAGCTTTGTTGAATTGGCCTTTAAAACTGCTCGGGTGTAAAGAATTTGCAGAAGGCTACAAAGGACAATAAAATGGGAGTGATGACATAAATCAGGGGAGTTATACATTTATCTCTCCATGTTAAACTAGCCGCCCTCAAGGGAGCCATTGGAAGAGTAACGATAGGCTGGAATCCTGCCGAGGAAAGGCAACAAGGCAGAGCAAATGGAGGGCAGAGCAGCAGAATTCCCAGCCCCGAACGGAGGCTGGCCGCAGCCTGAGATGGTGGGTCAGCCCTTCCCAGTATTCCATGCATGAATGATGGAAGGTCCCATTGCTCTTCACACCTCTGCTTCGAAGCAGCTGGAGGAGGGCTCCGCGGACTGTATCCTCCGTGGCCTGGATCCTCTCAGAGCACAATCCTCTCCTCTCCTCTGCTGACCTGGTTCAATCCACCATGGCTTATTTAATTCTAATTATGCCATTTTTTATATCCCGGGCAGTAATCTCTGATCTGATAATAGAAGTTTTACAAGCCAGCCCCTGTTCTCATCTGTATAAATCCTGGGGTGTATGGAGCTCAAGCGTGCGCAGGCACACACAGGTCTAAAGAGGCACTAAATTTATAACAATTCTGGGCTGCTCCAAAGTCACTGCACTTCCAGAGCATACTACCCGTAAGAATTTGCATTTATTTAACATCTGCAGCACTTTATGATATGCAGAAAGGGCAGGAGTCCAACACAGAGACCTTGGCATTATATCAGGAAAAGGACAGGAAGGGCAGCGGAGAACAAAATATTCAGAGCTACGGATCGAGAGGGGTATGGGATTCGGAGAAAGCAGGGTGCTGGCCATTTCACGGGAGAGTTTCCCCTTTGCTCTTGGACCACCCTCCCCAGCCTGCCTCTCCTCCTGCCTCTCCCTTTCCCTGCCTCTCGTGTTCTGCTTTCCCTCCTCGCTCAGTGGATCTCAGCCATCTCACCCACATCTGCTGCCGATAAAATAATTACTGTCCCTGTAATGACTTGTGGCATTTCAACATGGCAGGAAGGGGGCCTCTGCCAAGGAACAAGATGTGCTTATATAACCAATGAGCACAGATCGATTCTGCTGCGCTTAAAGGGGAAGGTCACCTGCCATGAAATTTCTGCATCTATCTTCACCCCCAGATAAAACCTCAACCAACAAGGACCGTGTGTTTCTTTAGAGGAGATGGCTCTGTTGCACCACCGAGTCCAGCCTTTAAGTCCACGGTGGACATTTTGTAGGACTCCCATGTCGAACACCAGCTCCCCACATGGCCTCATTCTAAGGAACCTCTGAAGTCAAAATTATTGGTGCATGCCGTTTCAAAGCTGCATTTGGTACTGTTTAGCAGCCGTGGCTCCAGCCAACTGCAGGGGCCAATTTCCAGTGCTTTCGGGGCAGGAGGAGATTGCAAAATACTAAGGGGAAGGACGCAGCCACAGGCCATGTGTGGCCCATCAGACACTCCATTTTTATGCCGCTTTCCCAGCAGGGTTTGGAAACGCTGCCCTGTGAGGAGAGACAGAGAACTGGGCATGTTCAGCCTTGAGAAGAGGAGGCCGAGGGGGGACATGAGATCCCTGTATAAGTACCTCAAAGACTGACACAAAGAGGAAGGTCAAGATCTCTTCTCACTAATACCAGAGTGTAGGACACGGAATAATCCATTCAAGTTGAGTCAGGCTGGACATCAGGAAAAGCTTCCTCATGGTCAGAGCAATAGGACAGTGAAACCAGCTGCCTGGAGGGGTGGTGGCTCTCCCACACTGGAGACATTCAAGAAGGAACTGGGCAGCCCTCTGAGTGGGGTGGTGTGACTTTGTGTCCTGCAACAGCAGGGGGTTGGACCTGGTGGCCTTCATGGCCCCTTCCAACTCTGCTCTTCTGGGATTCTTTGACTCTATGACCACATCCAGAGAAAAAGTCCAGAAAGGCAAGTGTCTGTGTTGATCCATGTCAACCAACCAGTTCTAGTGGCTTTCAACTCCTCTGGGAGCAGATCTTGTGGGCGCATTCATGATCAAACCACCACTGAATAATGTGCACCACAGCAGAGAAAACGGATGGTTGGTGGGGCTGATGGGAATTGCATCCAGCAATGCTTAGAGGGTCACATATTCCCCACTGCTGGTCACAGCCACTGGACTATCAGTAATAATGATCCTGGTTTTAATAATAATAATAATAGTAGTAGTTCTGTATATTTAGTTGGTGTGCTTGTTGGGGATAGACAGACAGGCAAAGATCCCCTGCCTTTCCTGTAATCATTTCAGTGGCTTAGAATAAGGATATCGGATACAATATTGCAAACATATGAATGGCAAATAAAACAGCAATAAAAAGTAAGATGGTAAAAATAATCAAGCCAACCAGCAGGAGCAAAAAAAACAAAGCACGGATCTTAGCAGGGATGAGAGAACAACCTGCTGCTCGCCTTAAAAACTAATCAGACTCTTTCAGCAGGCAACTGCCGGGGGTTTCTGAGCACTGGTGCTCCAAGTTCCAGAGTTGCTCCTCCTCCCTCCAGGGGGCGCTCTTTGGCTGATGTAGTAGGTGGTGGAGGACTCGCCGAAGAGGATGGCACTCCCAGTGAAGTGCCGGGGGCTGAACCGCTGTAGGAAAGCGATGCTGCCGCGCTCTTTTCATCCGGCGAGAGGACAGGTCCTGCCATGGTGGTCATGGATGCGTCGCTCGGAGCCGGTTCTTGAGCATCCCTGCAATCTGCAGCACTTTCATCTGACACAGTTGAGTGGGTCTCCCGACTTGCTAACTGGCTGCTTCCCTTTCCCAGATGTGCACCGAGTATAAATATTCTAGCTTTTAGGGGTTGAAGTAGAGTGGGATAAAGTACACATGTGCTTTCTGGCTGGGAAAAATGCAAGGCCTGTCGTGCTGCCCCAGGCAGGAGAACCCCTGGGATATGTCATTCCCGGGGTGCCCAATATCCTTACTGAGTCCTCTGATGGCCTGAGGAAAACTACATTTCCCAGGGTTTCTGGGCACCGACTATGTGGCCATTGCAGCAGTAGAGACCCCAGGGAAGGAGAGCAGCTCCATGGGAACCCCCTTCACACGCACAGACAATGCCCCTGAGGGGAGGGTTGGGGATGTTGGGGCTGAGAAGCAGCAGCTAGACCCTATCACATTCCAATACTGTTGCCTGAAATGTGGAAAGGGGAATATTTCAGAATGAGGCTTCGAAAACACTGAGCTACTTCCCAGCTATTTGCTTACTGAAATACCTTTGGTCGTTCATTCTGAATTCTGCTTCCTTTCCTCCTCCATTCCCTGGTTTTGAACCGTGTGTTGTGGCAAGCAGCAATTCCCCCGGATGAGGCCCGCTTCCCCTCAGCGACGCTTCTGTGAAAAGAGGCTGCAGCACCGGGGGACCCGGCCCACCCCCAGTAAGCATATGCAAACATTCAAGTTAAACATGTGTGAGTTAACTTAGGAAAGTGTGTGCTTGAATCGGGTGTTACATAAGAGAGTCTCCAGCCCCTTTTCCTTTTTGTGATGCAGCAGGTCCCTCTGCAGTGACAGAGGCGTCCATGTGCATTGCAGCGAATTTTCTCTCTGCTCATGCTCTCTCCCTTGTAAACCTGTTCCCAAGGTCTGAGTGTCTCGCCCATTCTCTTCCATGCTGGGTTGCTGCCACCTAAAGGCGGAGAGAAGCAGTGGGGGGCTGGCGCATGGAGATGTGCAGAAAGCATAGGCCAGCACTGCCACCTTCTGGAAAAGGCCCGCAGTCCTGCCACACTGAAGCTCCAGGCAGACGGACAGTCCAAGTATCTCAGATGCTTGAGCACAGGGCATCGGAGCAGCCAGCTGAGACCCACGCCACCCCATGGGTCCCCTTCAGTTCACAAGACTATTTTAATAAGATATCTGCCGCCCCACGCCAAGTTGTGTGTCCTGGCTGTCCAGTGCCTCTTGGGAAACATTTTGGGGGACTGCGTACAGAGCAAAGGTACCCCATCTCTGTCGCGAGGGATGCAGCCACTCGCACCACTCTGGGTTTGGGCTCTGATTGGACTCAGCATGTCCCTTTAACCCTGGGATCCCCAGGGAGGACAGTCACGGGACACTTCTGCAGCTTTGTAAAAAGGCTGGGTTTTATTATCTATGCGTTATTCTTTATTGCATCAGTGCCGGCAAAAGTGATCCTCTCAGCTTCTTGAATTCAGGAACCTTCTTGGATAGGAAGTGAATGAGAAGGGAGGACGTATCTGTGCCAGGCATTTCCCTTCAAGCACAATACCAGCAAAGCATATCTGAAGGGCAAGCGCAAACAGAGAAAGGATCTTGCCCCCAGAACAAGGTGGACCTGCCATCGTGGAAAGCAAATCTCCTGAGAGCCAAGAGCCTCCAAAAAAGAGCTGGCTGGTTGCTGGCTCGGTGGTGGGAAAAGACCTTCAGGGGCTCGGTCTCTGCAAAGGACAAATCCCTTCCCAAGCACAGCTCTCACTCCTTGACGATGCAAGCGGGGGGCGTGCCATGAGCATACTCAGAGTGCCGGATGCCCAGGCTGAATCGCGGGGCCCAGGGCTTGTGGGCAGTGACCTGCTCGGCATTGTAATCCGGAGGGCCAGGCGTGTAGTCTTTGCTGCAGGAGCTGAACCTCTGCGAGATGCTGTAGGCAGGCTGACGGTGCAGATAGATATCTGGCTTGGGAATGGTGTACATTGCTGGGCCAGGGCCCCTCACCAGGTCTTGGGCGTAGCGCCACACGGAGGCACTGGAAGCCATGGAGAGGCATGGGGCAGACACCTTGACCGGCAAGCCAGGGCCCAGTGTCCCTGGGAGCGTGTAGCTGTTGGGCGCCGGATACGGGTTGCTCTCCCGGTAGCGTGTTCGGGTCCCTATGGTATACGCTGGTGCATTGGGCTCTTCCAGGGGATGGATCCGCTCCACGTAATACTCGTTCGGTGCAGGGGTTGGGATGGTGCCTGCAAACCAAGAGAGGATGAAAAGGGGGCTTCGTCACTCGGCGTTTCCCTCTGCCCACGGAGGAAGGGAACGTGTGAATGGGCTGCTGCTTGCTGGGGCGCGGGGAGGGGAAGCTGAATGTGGAGCTGCGGGAGGCAGGGCATGGGCCGGCCTTGCATGCAGATATGATTGGGTTTGGTTCCAGGCATCTCTTGGTAGCTGGAAAAAGTCCCTGCCTTCAGCCCCGGAAAGCAGAAGCTGCCAGTCAGTGTTGACTGCACTGGAGGAGTTGGTCCAGGGGTCAACACCAGGCACTTAATTAATCTGTCATCCAGCAGATCTCCACTTTTCTTTTTCCATTTTTAAAAGCTAAATTTAATCCCAGTTGGATGTGGAGATACAGTTTCAAAAGTGTAATTCTGAGGTTGAGATTGAATTTAAATCATGGTGATTGGCAGCCTCGAGGGTCCCTTCTGGACTGGGTTACAAAAAAAATCAACTTCACCGTCTCAGAAGCTGATGGGGTTGATAGCTCGCTCTGCTGGTGTGGCGAGGAGGGCGGCACGGAGCTTCAGCAGCCTAAGAAGCTCCCCATGAATAACAAAACCAGGACATCACACGAAACAGGAAAGGATCTGAATGATGCTAAAATCACAGGCATACACCTGCCCCGTTTGCCTAATTCATACCGTTAGATCACCGCACAGCAGAATCTGGATGTACCTCCTGAACTGAAAAACGTCCTATGAATGAGTGACGTCGTGGCAGAGGGATGGGAAGAGGCTGGTGGAGGTGGAACTGCAGCAGAGTTGGTGCATTGCAGACATGGGTGTCCGACCAGTACCAGGCAACCCCCCACCAGCACTTGTCATTTTTGGAAATGAGGGGCATCTACTTCTTTGTAAACCACATTCATGTTCGGGGCGCATGGGAAAGGGAGGTGCCAGGCCCTGGGCCTGGCCTTGGACAGAAGCCGTTGTCTTCTGCTCCACACTGGGGTCCTCCTGTCCCTACTCCTAGCCATCTTTAGCCCTGACGGCCTCAACCACGGAACAGGCTGCCATGAAACTCCTCTTTCACATGCAATTCACTGTCTCTCAGTGTTAATTCCACAGGCACCTCCAGAGCACTTAGTAGATTATAGCTGTAAAGCTTACATAACCCTCTTGTTTCCCCCAGTGCTTTTTCAGATGCTTTACTGCCTCTTCATTCAGGCGGTCACGCCATCAACGTCGTACAGTCCCTCTGATTTGGAAAGACGAGATGTTGCGACTTGATGGAGCATTCCCTGACACCTGCCGCCTCTTCCGGTCGAGCTCAGGACACCTTCTAGGTGAAGTTCTGCTGAGCTGGATCCAAAATCAGCCCCCACTGCCTTTGCTGCTGATCTGGGCTGAGATATGGTTTAGGGCAGCCTCCTCCGGCGTGAGGTGGCAACCCAAGCTGGCTGCCAGATGTTGCGGCCGTGGGTTTCAGCAGAACCAGGTTGGGGGAGGATGCTTGAGGAGCAAATCTGATCCCCTCTTACCAACTCCGTTTGGAATAGGCTTGCTCTTCCTGGGCTTTGTCAGATAATTCTGGAGGAGTGGAGGAAATCCAGAGAACTGCCTGTGATTTCAGGATTTCTGCAAGACGTAGCAGAGGCCATCAAACTGATTGGCTTTAGAAAGGGATCGCAGAAATCCATGGGCAATGAGGTTATCAAAAGCTACTAGTCCTGTGCTACCCAAGGTAGATGCCTATGTACAATTATGCAAGAAAAAGTTGGGGGCAGAAGGAAAACAAGACCACCAAATATGAGATGGGTGGACTCCACAAAGGAAGCCATGGGTCTGAATTTAAGGGCTGGGCTGGGCTGTAATGGACCGGACATTTCAGAAGGCTTTCGCTCATGGGACTGCCATAAGTTGGAGACAACCTGATGGCACACTAGGTTGCTGAGCAACATGGGTGAGAGGGTGCGATTGAACTCAAGACCCTTTTTCTGGGTTTCCGAGGGCACCTGGGTGACCACTGCATGGACAGAATGCCGGCCCAGATTGGCCTGATCCAGCCGAGTTCTTCTCACGTTTTTAAGACCTGGCGCATTCCAAAGGCTCCCCACCTCACTCCAGGTTTCCTGACCTGCAGCGGTCAAATTCCCTCTCCCATTGCTTTCCCTTTCCCCAAAACTGCATGATGGGATTGGGGTTATGACAACGAGGTCTATTCTGTGGACCAAATCGTGCGCGCTGCTTCCACCGCCGTTCCTCACCATCGGTCTGCCCCCCAGTCAACCACCAAACGTGTCGACCCCAACAGCAAACCCAGCTCCAGACTTACGGCTGCTCCTTCTCTCCTGCGGAATGCGGAATGATACCGGCCTCCATATCCCAACATGAGAAACACTGGGATCCACGAAGTAACAGGGCCCGGGACTCTCCACAGCTGTGATCACTTGCAAGGGAAAGAAGAACGGGTGATTTAGCATGGCTGCCGTGGCCCCGCACTCATCTCCCAGGTCTCATCTCCCTCTTTGAAGCTCGCTGCACCTTGCATAGAAACACACATGGTGGGAAGAAACACCTTTCAGGGGCTTCGACTGGTTTGCCCGTGTGGCCTCTCCTGGACAAGATAACCCTGGCCGCTGCTACGAGTGTCTTCGCAATGCCCAGCCGAACTGCCTTCCGAGCCAAAATTCAGACTTCCCGTTTTAATATTCGAGACATTTCATCAGGGTGCCGAAGCTCCTTGGCTCCGAGGGCTGCACCGGAGTCAGGTGGAGGGCCACGGGCTACACCCACATCCTGCCCGCTTGGCACATACAGACACTCTTCTCCCTCCCACCAGAGAAACACCAGGGCTGGCATCAAGGGGGGCACAGCTGAACACCTGTCAAGGCCACGCCCCGACCGGGGCTCTTGGCAAGAGCTCCTGGGGTTTGCTCTTCCACTGTTTGTTCACCAGCCTCTTGCTCTGGCCCAATCAGCACTGGCGAGTCGGAGGAGCAGATGACACGGCCTCCTTCCTCACTGTCTTTCTGCCCCTCAAGCAAGCAAGGGGGGCAATTATGAGAAAGCGGAGGAGGCGCAATCGCCGTGGGCCAGAGCAGTGGATGAGAAGCTTCTGCCTTGCCCAGGGGCCCACCCGACCTGGAGGTGGCCCTGGGAGTGTCACAAGAGGCTTTGGAAAGACATGGGTTGGGCAGCCACAATGATTTGATATCTGCATGCCTGCCGGGACACTTAGCTCGGTATCAGAGATGCTTCTCCATGTCCTGCTGCTGTCTGAGATAGAGCTGGCAAGAGACCGAAGTCCTTTCCAGCCACAGCATCATCGGGTTAACCTTCCAACGAGCCCCACCTTGCGCCATGTTTTGCCACCTTAAGTCACCCTGGTAAGACTTGGGGTGCAGGTCTGGCAGATTGTTGAATTGTGTCCTCTAACCAACATTGCAAGGATTTATCTCTTCGTCTTTTTGTTACGTATTTGACTTCTTGTAACATTTTCATTATTAGCTGTTGGTTGTTTTAAACCGAAAGACTAGTGGTGATGGTTTTGATATTCAGAGACCTAATCCTGGTGCCTGCATTGTTTCTGTTGCTTTTACGTGATGGTGGTAATACCAGTTTTGGGAGGAACAATTTACATGAGGAAAATTGCGCCCTGTCCTACAGTGCCATTGCTCCAATCAAATCTGAGGCCATCTGCTGTTGCTTCGCAATTTAAGAAAATCTGGGAGATGTGACAATAGCTCTGTCCTGACATGTCCATTTTTTTCCTGTAAATATACGCAGGTTCCCGATTTTATACATCGGTCCTTCTTATTCAAAAGTGACTCCTGCCCAGCTTCATCTGACCTCAGAGCTGGGCAGCTCACTTCAGCCTCGATGCCATTCTCAGGGTTAGCTGCCCAGGGCTACCTGCAAGAACCTGTTTTCCCTGCTCTCCTGGCGCCCTTACATCTTTCTTTGGATCGCACTCGCATGGAGTAGGCTGGCTCAGCATACTTGGTGAAGTCGTGGTCCTTAATGCCAGTGCAGGGCTGCCGACTGTACTTCCCAGGTCCTGGCCCTGCGAGAAAAGCGGAGCCAAAAACTGAACACGAAAGCAAAGGCCAGAAAACCAGCAGTAGGGTATATACTTCTGAGTCAGCAAAAGGAAAAATAGCTTCACGCCCCACCAAATTAATAATAGTACAACAGGGGACAGTCTGAGTACATTTTGCATAGGCATGCACATTTAGACAACACTATAAGCAGATATAGTGTATCACGCCCATCACGCCCAAATTTGGAAGACTGTGGCCAGGAAAAGCTGGGCAGGAGGGTCCTTCCAACACTGGATGTTTCCAAACAGAGGACTGTCCCATAAAAGAGGACATGTGGCCATTCTGGGAATTAATGTAATCAGAATATGAGCTGCTGAGTCACACTAAGATGTACGCGTAGAGCAAGATGGTCCGATATGGCTACTGCCTCTTGTTTGTGTCTACCATCTGGTTACACAATTCCATTGCTGGCTGAAAGCAGCGACCATCTGCTGAGGAATGCCCTCTTTCCATGCATTTATCTGAGCAGGTGCCACGAACAAGAAAAGCTAACAAGCAGCTTGGTGCATTTTCCGTGGTCACCTGGAGCTCTCTGCTCTTCAGGTATAACAAACACAGTTCACAATTCTAAATGTGGAGAGGCAGATGGGCAATCAGTCAAAAGCCTAATGGAAATAAGCACTGTTTCTTTGCCTGATACTTTACAAAACAGGCAACACAACCACTTAAACACTGTAAGTAATAATAAGCGATTGCCACAAAATGATCCCACCCCAAACAAAGAGTATATGAGAAATTCAGTTCATTTTTGACCAGGATGTATCCAGTTCAGACTTCCTGAAACTCAACCTGGGCCTAAAAGCAGCAAGAGTCTGAAGTCTGCTCATCTCTGAGTTTGCAGTGCGATTTACAGAGCAACAAAATACATCTGCATGTTAAAACACAGTGTACTAATACTTCTATCACAGGGAGAAGAATTAGTACTTTTCCAAAAAAAAAAGTATGCACAAATATTTATGCAAAAAGTAAAAAACCATCAGTATTTGAGAAAGACACAAGTGGAAAGAGGCACTAATGTCGTCTGAGAGAAACATTTTCCTTTTGTTTTTAATCAGACTTACCCACTTTGTACCTTTCAGGCCAAATACAGGCATGGATCAATCCAGAGCTGAAATCCGCACATTTCAGAGCTTGCCGAAGACCTGCTCCAAATGTGCTCAAGAGCACTGAAAAATGGGGAGAGTCCTATAAAAATGCACACCTTGGAAAAAATACTCAGAAATGCTATTTAAATGTATGAGGTGTAGATTTCAAAAATGTGCCAACTGAGGTGGAATTCAGAAAAAAGTGCTCGCAAAAATATGCATGGCTTTTCGTGCAAAAAGGAGGAAACCTGCAATCGGATAAGGGCTTGAGTATCGATGCATTTCAAGGTGGAATTCTTGAAATGCATATATGAAATGAAATGCATATTATATGAAATGCATTTCAAGGTGGAATTCTGCATTAAGGCCTCAGTTAAGGCCTAATTTACCCTTCCCTGCATGGGAAGCCCCATCCGGGCTGCACAGAATCCGCAGCTCAGAGAACCTGCTCTGAGATGTTTCAGACACACTTGGCAACTCCCTAATTCCCCTTCTCTCCCTTTGCAGTTCCCCGCTCACCTTTAAATTTGGCACTGATTAGTGCGTACCGCTTGCTGCCCACTGAGGGTCTGGCTGGAGGCTTCGGAGAATTGGCAGCTGCAGCCGGAACACCTCCTTGTGGACTGGATGTCGCCATTGGGAATGCTGCCAGTGTCACTGCAGCGGGTGCCACCCTAACGGGCCACTGGTGCCCCGGGAACCAAAGCAAAGGACGGCTAAGCAATGTCAGCATTTGCAGGGCACACAAAGACTCAGCTTTGTTGTGTTGTTGTTAGTCACGAAGTCGTGTCTGACCCCTCGCGACCCCATGGACCACATTCCTCCAGGCCTTCCTGTCCTCCACCGTCCCCCGGAGTCCACTCAAGCTCACACCCTCTGCTTCAGTGACTCCATCCAGCCACCTCATCCTCTGCCGTCCCCTTCTTCTTTTGCCATCTATTGTCCCCAGCATTAGGCTCTTCTCCAGGGAGTCCTTCCTTCTCATGAGGTGGCCAAAGTATTTGAGCTTCATCTTCAGCATCTGGCCTTCTTAAGAGCAGTCGGGGTTGATCTCCTCTAGGACTGACCAGTTTGATTGCCTTGCGGTCCAAGGGACTCTCGGGAATCTTTTCCAGCACCACAATTCAAAGGCCTCAGTCCTTCGGCGCTCAGCCTCCCTTATGGTCCAACTCTCACACCCAACTGGGAAAACCATCGCTTTGACGATAAGAACTTTTGTCCATTAATTAGGTATCATTAAAGCTTGCAAAATGGACTGGATGTCGCCATTGGGAATGCTGCCAGTGTCACTGCAGCGGGTGCCACCCTAACGGGCCACTGGTGCCCCGGGAACCAAAGCAAAGGATGTCTAAGCAATGTCAGCATGTGCAGGGCACAGCTTTGGGTGCCTTTTCTACGCTTTTCTACCCCACCTTTTGAGAGTAAGGGACTTAAGGCACCTTGCAGGAAAATATTGATATTTGAGGCAAGACTGAGGGAACTGGGTCTCTTCAGCCTGGAGAAGAGGAGACTCAAGAGGGGATCTGTTGGCAACATACAGGTATACAAGGGGGTGTCACATGGAGGTGGGCAGAGACCTGTTCTCACCTGCAGAGGAGGGCAGGACGCCTCCAACGGAGCAAAGCTCAAGGAAGCAAGGTTCAGTTTGGATGCCAGGAAGCACTTCCTGACGGTTAGGACCCCGAGGGTGTGGAACGGGCTTCCATGGGAGGTGGTTGAGGCCCCATCGGTGAGGGTGTTTAAGGATAGGCTGAACACGCACATGGTAGGCATGTCATGAGTGGAGCCGGCTGGAGCCAGGGGTCAGACTAGATGGCGCGGGAGACCTCTTCTGACTCTCTATGTTTCTATGATATGGAGGTACTGTTTTTGATCATCAGTGAATGGATTCCTGCAGCCAGTGTGGCCAACAGGGAGATGCTGGGCCTTGTGATCCAATGCCCCTGGAGAGCATCAGGTTGGGAAGGCAAGGTTAATCTAATAGAAGTCCTATGCATTTCCATAGGTCTACATTAAGGAGGGCTAACATGGCATGCACACATGTACACACAGCAGAACTATAAGATGAAATTAGTAACAGCTAAAACCTTGACAAACGGTAACGTAAGCCATAACAGCAGGAGAAAACACTAAACTAATTAATACAGACCAAATGCTTGGCTGCATCGAAACAGTCCTCTGGGGAGTCATCTAGAGCAGGAGAAGCAAAAACGAAAAGGGAAGGAAAAAAAACAGGGAACAGGAACAGCTCGGGGAACAGTGTGATGTTTTGATATCATCTGGCGTAAACCACATCTTGCGGTAGCCAGTTCCACCAGTGATTAATTTACGGGACAGAGCGCCACAAATTGTGCTGATGGACTCTAGTATGGATGACTTCCAGAGAGCAGAGGACAATGAGGGTAAGGTCTGATGATTCAGCTGGACTTCCACCTTCTGGGACTGCATCCCCCACCACGTCCTAGGTCTGGGGTTCTCATACAGGCCTCACAATCTTCCCAGATACACCCTTCTTTAGGAAGCAGGTGGTTTGACCTGGTGGGTTGCCGGTGATCCAGCAGGGCAACGCCAGCATCCCGAGCAAGGCAGGAAGGCAGTGGCCTCCAACTGCCACGTTCACACTCGTCACAAGATCCCGGGCTTATTCTTATTACATAAAAGAAAGATCATTTGCCTCTGACACGCATGCCTCTGATCTGCTGGTGAATGACACAACTTGAAAAGAAATACCTCAGATTCCCCCTCAGCTTCCTTCGCGCTCTCCTCAACCCCACCTCAAACTCTTCCACCAGCTTTTCTTCCACCTTTTTGGACCATAAACAGCATCCCGAGTTCCGATTGGCTGAGCAGTTGCCCTGGCAATGGTGATGCGCATTGGGGTTTGTTGATTTCCACATCGCCGTGGTTCCAGCACACAATTGCAAAAGCAGAAGTGTGCACACATGTGCGTTGCTCTGGGCAGAACTTCTTGGCAAGCGGAGCCCCCCGTTTGTCATGCCAGGCATGACGGACGGAGAGACAGGCCTGTGCCCACAAATCTACATTTCCTGGTAGCTGAAGGGAACTTACAAGAGCAGCTTCCCTGCCCTATTCCCTGTGCACAGCAGAGCAACTTTTAGCCCCCAAACATATTGGCCTAACTGAAAGCAGACTCGCTAGTCAACTGTCAGTGCTATTCTGTGGCAGAGCACACACTTACCGGCCCGTCCTCATTCACCGTGCCCAGTTTTCTGCTGCTTTTACATTCCTCCATCATGACAGCTTTAAAAAATACCAGCAAAAAATAGCTTGCCAAACCAGCTTTTTCAAAAAATGAACAAACAAGGGAATACACTGAGCTTTCCACTTTCAGCTTGCTTAATTTTCAGCACCATGGCAACAATGGAGTTTGCATCTGCTCCCCTGATGTTAAGCACATGCGATTCGGAACGAGCCTGCTTTTAACCCAGCAAAGGAATAGATGTGAACCACACTACTCACGATGTGACTGAAGAATTCCTTGCCTTCGATTTTTGCTCACCTTCTTGCCCCAGACTTCTCCAAGGAGCTGCAAAGCCGTGCTATTTGTGGGTGGCCTCCCCATCCAGGGGTCCATCACCCCAATTTTTCCAATGCTGTGACTTAACTTGGCTCTTTAGCCCACAGGGCACACCTGCAAATGTCCCAAACTTCCCCCAGGATTTCTTCTGGCTACGTTTGGGGTGGGGAAGTGACAGTGGATTCCTCACCTGGCCATAGGTGGCCCTTTGCCTGGATGTTTTACTGGGGACATGAAATCTGGCGTCAAGACCAGGTGAGGACTGACTATCGCAGCCATGGCGTGGCAGTTCTCCCTGCCTCCCTCCCTCCCTCCCTCCCTCCCTCTCTCTCTCTCTCTCTCTCTCTCTCTCTCTCTCTCTCTCTCTGACTTGCTCCATCTTTCTGTAGCAGAGGTGGGAGCAAAAATAAAGCTTCTCTTTGGGCCTCTGTGACGTTTGCTTCGCACGTTCCACACATGGCACCATTCTGGGACATCATACAGGAAAACTGCTGGGCCACGTGTGCCCAAAGTCTTCCTCTGTTATCCCCCTCCTTCCTTCCTGTTCAAGGAGCCCACGGTCACCCAGGATCTCCTCCTCTCCTTTTTTCCCTCACAAGAGCAACCCTGTGAGGTTGGTTAGGCTGCGAGTCTGTGACTGGCCCAGAGTCACCCCGTGAGCTTCATGGGGACTGGAACCCAAGCCTCCCAAGCACCCACCCAGCACTCTAACCACTAGGTCATGCTCCTCACAGTCGCTAGTCATAACTGCTTCTAGCAATCCTGGACTGGCCACCCTGAGAGTCCAGTCAATTATTTTCATATTATTTTTCTGAGGTTTCTATTTACCTGCATGATTGTTCTCATGGTGGCTCATATCCATTTGGATTTCTGTGGAGAGCTTGTGGAGCTTGACGTGAGAACTGTCCGTGTCTAGGCACTATTAGATAATCAAATGGCCACATGCCTTTGGCAGGATGGTGTGAGACTGAAGCAGCAGGACCTTCATGGTGGTGAGCACAGCGTGAAGAAGAATTGTGGTTTCCGCTGGCGAGGACTGCCGATGCAGAAGGAACACGCAATCGCATCTATATGTGGTAACGTGACCAAAATATGTGGTGGCCGATCAGTTGCCGTGGCTGCTCTCCTAGGAGAACGCTGAGTGGAAACAGAGATAAGCACCAGACAACCACATCGCTGCCCAGTATATCGATGTCCCAGGTTTCTTTCGTGCCAACCATCACCATCAGCTGAAATTCTCTTGCTGTCCTCAGGCTAAGTTCACTCTCCAAGTGGCTGCTTGAAGCAGTTCCTCAAATATTTTTAGGTAGGCCAATCCCATATTTGATATTTACAATGCCAAAACCTGGGATTATCCCATGAACATCCTTGGTGGGAGATTCGGAACAGATAAAAGGAAGGACTTCTCCTGATAGCACAGCTGTGGAACTCGCTTCCACAGGAGGTAGAAATGTCCACCAGTTTGGATGGCTTTAAAAAGGGATTGGATAATTTCATGGAGGAGGAGGAGGAGACTATGGATTGCTTCTTGTCCTGAGAGCTCCATGATACCTCCAGTATCAGAGGTGGCATGCCTGTGTGCTCCGCATGCTGAAGAATATGGGTAGGTGGGGCTGTGGCTCCCATGTCCTACATTCATGGTCTGTGGACCACTGGTTGACCTCTGTGTAAACAGAAGACTGGACTAGAGGAATCCTGGTTCCAGCCTAGCCCAGCTCTTCTTATGTCTTTCTGTTCTTAGTCCTTTTAAACATTGCATGACCTGGACTGGTATCCAAATAAGAATCGAATTATCCTAATTTTGCAAGACACTTTTCAGCGGATGATCCTCTGTTTGAAATGCAGCCCAAGTTAAAGCTAAAGCAGAAGCCATGATTCTAGGATTCTCCGATAGTCTTCCCCAAAGTGGTGAAATGGATTATGTTGCTGTTGTTAGTCGCGAAGTCGTGTCCGACCTATCGCGACCCCATGGACAACTTTCCTCCAAGCTTTCCTGGAGGTAGATTATAGGACTATTTAAATTACATCGATCTATGTTTGCATCTCTCTGTATAAATCAGCATATGAAAAATATGCAAATCAGGGGGCCTCTTTGTGGC